ATAGTTTGATAATACTGAAAAGTAAATGTGTTGATGATTTTCAAAAAGTATTTTCTGGAACCTCCATTTTTCTGAAGCTAGCACTAATTATATCTGCTGGCCAGTAAAAAGTCACCTCATGCCACACCCAGAACTGACTAAAATTGATGCCTGAGACATGAAAAGTAATCTAAGGTGATTCCACCAATTCTAAGTCAGATGTGGAAGTTTTACCTAATTTTATATGTCAATTTCATGTCATTATGATCATAATCATGAGAAGTTGGGGCAGCTACCAATAAGAATGAGTCTTCTTGACTTTAGTCTTCATAAGTAGGAATTGTTGTGGAACTTAGTATCCAAATACTAACGCTTCCCTTTTCTTCTCAGACATTCACGAAAACGCTGGGAAAACTTTATCCATAGTGAGAACAGACACCTTGTCAGTCCTGAGGCCCTAGATCTTTTGGACAAACTTCTGCGATATGACCATCAACAGAGACTGACTGCCAAAGAGGCCATGGAGCACCCCTACTTCTGTGAGTCTCCAGGGACTGTTTCTAGGACTGATTATTAAAGGGAAAAACTTACTGCCTTTTATCTTTGAGGCCAGACTAGAGAATTCTAGGTATTTGGACTGAATTGTCCTTGGAATTTGGCCTCATTGGTTCTAGAAGATCGAGACAGCTTTGCTGATCTGTTTTTGATCCCCAGCAGTTTTGTTTGTTCACCACATGGCTGGCTTGAGTCTGGTCTGTTTCCCCTTCCCCATGGCCCTCAGTTGATTGATCACAGGTATCTAAAATTAGTTTTCAAATCTGTACATTTGTGTGGAAACATAATCAAAGAGGATTCCTCCCACCAAAAAAAAAAAAAAAAAGTAGTTAAAAGTAATACGGTCAACACAGTATATTTTAAAAGATAGAAATAAAAGAAGTTTGAGGAAAGGTAAGTAGGGAAGACTTCATTAAAATCCTATCTGAATTGATGACTTCTTAAGTTTCACTTAGAACTGAATATGTACCATATATTTGCAGGCATACACTTCTCTCTACTGATAAAGTTTGTCTCAAATAAATTTCCTCCTATTAACAATTTGAGATGATTTAGAGAAGTCACAGAGGAGACTGAAAATATGCAGATCCTATCTCCAGTGTTGTGACCTGTCTTAGTCCATTATGAATTGAGGTGACAATTTTCAGCCTAGCTGAATCTTGAACAGTGTGCGCTCTATTCCTTCTCCCTTTCCCCTCTCTGGAGATGAATTAAATTTTACCAGAATACATTATTATGTGGTCTTGACTGTTCCAGCCCATTAGCATTAGTAGACAGCAGACTTAAAAGGGCCTACCTTCCAGATCTCAGATCAGTGCAACTCAGATGTCCTCTTCCCAGTTTCCGGCATAGAAAACTGAAAACTGTTTTCACCCTTTGGGTTAGATTAAGAATATTGCCTTATTTATTTTTTCCTGGCCATAAGATATGCATTAGTTAGGGTTTTCCAAAGAAAAAGAACCAACAGACCGTCCATCTGCATCTATTTCTGTATCTCTGTATTTTTTTTCCCATCCTACCACCCATCCCTTTGATCCTTTCTACCTCCTTACTTCCCCTTCTAGCCTCAGAAACCACATTTTGGTTATCAATATCTGCTAGTTTATGATTCTTTTGCATACTCAGTTGATCTACTTTGATTTCTTATTTTATATAGGTGATATCATTCAATATTTGTCTGTATCTTCCTGTCTTACTTTGTTAGTTTGTCCCTTAAACTCCTTCAACTTTTGCTGTAAATCTGTCCTTGTAGCTGAATAGTATTCCATAGTGGATGTACCACTGATCCTTCTACCATTGGGCACTTAGGTTGTTATCAAATCCTAACTATTGTAAATAATGCTGCAGTGAACGTTATGGCATGTACAGTTTTTTGAGTTGATGGCTTCATATTCTTCAGATAGATACCAAAAGTGGGATCTCTGGATCACGTGGTATTTCCTTTTTTTTTTTGTTTTTTAAGGTAGGTCCAGGCTGCTTTTCCGAGAGTGTACATTCCCACCAGCTAGTGTTTATATATGGTGTTTATGATGTGTCATTCATGATCTGTCTATATTTCTGAATACACATCATACTTCTATTAAAACATTTTTTAACTGCTGTTGCTTAAACTTGATAGGTCTTCTAGTAGCCCTATTTATTCACACTCTCCTCCAAAGCACTTATTATTGCGCTTACAATGCCTTGAAAAATCGGAGGTTGGATATGTTCGTATTCAAGGAAAATGACACATGTAAAAAGCTAGTAGAAATTCTGAGTGATGGGAAATTAGTGTTTCTGTACCTCTCTTTCCACGAGTCTCAGTAGTTGAGCTTGTACTCTGAGGAAGTTACCGTGTTTAGTTTCTCTACAACTGTAATTCTATATTTTCTGTTGTCCTCCTGACCCTTGCTTTCCAGTCAGTCTCTTTGTGTCCCTGTGGCAGGGTTGGACTTATCATGATTCTCTTCCCCACACTGGCCAGCCCTGAGTTCTCTGACTTTCATCCTGTTTTGTTGCAGACCCTGTGGTGAAGGAGCAGTCCCAGCCTTGTGCAGATAACACTGTGCTTCCCAGTGGTCTCACGGCAGCCCGATGAAGACTGGAAAGCGACGGGTAATGCGGCATTGATGCTTGCCAATAAAACCAACCAACCAAACACAAATCTTGAAGGAAAACTACAGTGTGATAAAAAGAAATTCTAGTCATTCCTTCTCAATGCAACGAAGAGTAAAGACCTAAAAGTCTGTCAAAAAGAAAGAAACTCCCCAGTACTAGTCTACAGGGAGCTGCCGTCTGGCAGCCTGATGATGCACATAGTTCAGGATCTGAGGGAACTCTCCCTTTGGAATGCATGGGAGATGAGAGACTCGGAGTTGTTGTACATTCACCTTTATTTAACAGGAGAGAACACTGTTGAATTGACCCGTTAAGTCAACAAGCTCTGAATATCTGACTTCCTATCTATTCCACTGTGGTCTGGGTTTCCTTTGGTGAGATTCAGGCTCAAGTTTTAGCAAAACGTCAGCAGAATATACTGACACACCAGCCTCATTTATGAAAAGGAGATATTAAAACAGTGACAGTATTTTTTTTTTTTTAAGCTCTTTTACAAATTCATGTTTTATGTATTTTTTTATGACATGAGCTCTAGGAAATGTACCTCATCCCTGCAGTTTTCTTCTAAGTGTTTTCATTTGGGAGCAACCGCAGTCACTCTCACAGGAGTCCCCTTTGCTATCAGGAGGCATCCCCTGAAACCTTGTGATGCCATGAACAGGTCCATCGGTCTCATCGAAAGCGTGACGTTAAGTGCTTGACTGCTAAGAGCTCACTGTAGCCTTTGTTGATTTGCCTAATCATAAAATCTTGTTACTATTTTTTGTGTGTGTAGCTTTGCCTTTTTTTTTTTTTTTTTTTGACAGCCTTGTTAGGAAAACCTCACCATTTCCCAGCACATCCCTGTGTGTGCACCTGTTTTATTAACGCACCTCTCAGAAACTTTCTTTTTCTTCACGGCCATAATTAAAGCTGGAAAGTCAGTGTTCAGGCAGGTCAGGGAGGGAGAAAATGGTCCTCTTACAATCTGTTAGTAAAGACTTGCTGGGTGAAAAAAATGTACTCCCCTCCCCCTTTTTGCCTCTTTTTTAATCCCCATTTATTTCCCACTGTAATCAGGGTAATCTGCACTTTTAAGCTCTGATAGGTAATACATGAATGTGACGGCCAAGGTATGTCTTTCTCACTTGCAGGGACTGGCGTTGTCTGGGCGGCGCTGCCCGACAACCCACGTGACTGCAGACATCAGCATACTTGGCTTGGGAAAGGAAGTGGAGCTCCTGGAACTAGTGTCAAAGCTTAGGACCCATTGTGCTATCCACACTAGCAAAGGAAGCTAGATTTTGGGTTTTTGTTTTTTTGTTTTTTTTTTTTTAAATAGGGCTGATTTCATTTTGGGGATTTGTCACCAATGCAGTTTGCAAGCAGTCCCCCCACCCTCCCCCCAGCTGCAGAGCCGTGTCACAGCTGTGGGGACTTCACACACCTAGGCTAGAGCTAGAGGTGTCCACGTCACATGTAGGATTTCTTTATTAATTATTTAATAATGCCATACATTTTTATAAGGTTAGATTGTTTGTTTGAAAACATCTGTTTACATTCCATATTCCAATAAAAGCATACTGGTATTGGTAATAGGTCCTATCTCTAAATGTAGATTCTATTTTTGTCGTTTGGTCTCTGGGAACTTATAATGCAAATAAAACTCTATGCTAAGAATTCAGCATACAGATTGAAAATAGATCCCAAAGCCAGGAAATGCATTCAGTTAAGGTTCTCATACCAATACTATCTGCCTGTGTTGCACATTCTGTATATTAACATATACATTTGTTCTACCTGAAAATCAAAGACAAGATGTGAACTCTCAGCTGAACCTATGTGGCTGTGTCAGGCAGCAAAACCCAGTGTTTGGGATTATCAAAAAAGCCTTTTAACGTGCCCTTCTAGGCAACACTGAACTGTTGGTTATTATCAGGGAGATGTGCCACTATGTGTCTTTCCTGCTCCCCTACCTCTGCCTCCTCATCTGTTGCCTAATCCTCTTCCTGCCCCACCTATTTTTTTTTTTAAGTGGCCTGTCTTTACTAGGCAGGGGGAGTCTACTGGAAGTTCTGAATGAAATAGTAGCCCCATTACTTTCCCTTGGGTCCCCCAGAGGCGATGAAAGCATCTGGAGGAGAAAATCAGGTGATTTACTTCTGCCTCTCCTTTGATCATCAATCAGTAGGTGCAAACACAGCTAATCTGCCTGTCCTTGGGTTCTGTAACTGCAGCTTTGACATAGGAGTAATTTTTTTTTTTCATTCATACAGTTTACTTTCCACCAACTCTATTTTTTACCTCTCTTCATGCCTTAGACATACAGTATAACTCAGTTTAAAGTGCTCGCTCCTTTCTAAGTAGTAGTTCTTTCCCAGACTGAAGTGCGTCCAGTTGAGACCTTTTCTCTTCAAAACTATTTTGTGTCCAGATAATACCTGACTTCCCCAAGATTTTACAGTAGTTACCTGGGTAAGGAGATGGTCTTAGTTCCAAAAGAAAGGGGTGAGAGAATGTGTGTGTAGGAGTGGGAGTCAGACTTAAACTAAACTGGTAGATACACCCACCCAGTATCCTTTTCTGTTAGCATATTTTTAAATTCATCTCAGTGATTTTCATTAGACATTGTGTTTGCTTCATTACCTTATAACAGGTTAAAAGTGCCTATGATAAGGACTCAACTATTTCCTAAAGAAAAGCAAAAAAGTGTGGGGAACAGGGTAGTGTTACACTATCATCTCAGGTACTGCCTATGTTCAAAAACATAGACCTGGTATGGTGAGAATAAAAGGTTCCTATGCCAAATGCTGATCATCATTTATTGGCCACCAGTGAGCATATAACTACAGGGTTTTGCTTCAGCCAATAAATCCCATGCTGAGAGCAGAACTGATGAAGCACTAAGTAATATTTTCTCTGTGGTTTGCTTGCGATTCACTCTCCCCTGGGTCATGTCAGCTGGCATGCTCCCCTTGGTAGGTGCTGGGTGGGAGAAGCCATCAAGTGTATGATGCCAACCAGCATTATTGTCTTCTCATCAACTAGAGGAGTGCCAGTGTTGGCTCAGTGAGGCACTAAAGTACCACTCACCTGGGTCTCCTAACAGGTAGTCTGTAGCGCATCAGAAACTCACAAAGCCCAAAGCAAATTCCCTTGCAGAGAAGGAAGGGGTATACTCAGACTGATTAGAGAAGACAGAAGAGCTTGTAAACTTTGGGGACTGGGAGAGAAGCTGGGAGAGAGGGAGCTGTTAAAAGGAGCCAATAAAAAAGAAATGTCTAAAGGTAGTACTTGGAGGAATGTTGCTGCTTGAGGGGCACCGAGTAAATATTTTGGAGTGGGCACTGCTCCCTGCATTGGTCCAGCAGGACTGAAAGGTGGTGCTCTCAAGGCAGATGCTGAGTCCCAGGGAGCTGGCGGTCTCAGTCTGCGCCTACTCAGGGAAATGACTTAGGTTCTCCCAGGTGCTGCATTGATGAGGATGGAATCCAAACTATTTGGGGACACAAGCAACAGTGGGAAGAATTTTTATAAATGCATTGCAATGGATCTAAGAAAGCCCAATAAACAGTATCCTTTAATGCCAGTTCAGATTAAATGATTCATTTAGAAACCCGCGTTACTGCATGAGCACCCACAGGAAAAAAGCAAACTTTTCTCCTACAAATAAAAAAGGAGTGGATAATAACTAATCAGAGTCGAGGTCATTGAAAGATAAAACCTGAAAACAAGCAGGGTCCACACAAGCACACAAGTTTGTCAGTGAGCTTAATAAATTAAGACTGAATAATGTCCTGCCTTTAAAAATTATCCCCAGGGTGGAAGGGTGGGGGGGGGAGAAGGTGAAACATCTGGCTAAGAAAATCAGTGATAAATAACATGCTTTTGAGCTTTCTGGATATAATGAACACGGCCCCAACCAGGTATCATGGAGGCTGGAGAAAGTGACACAGTGGGGTGACACAGGTGGTACATTTGTGTAGAGACTCAACGATGTGCTGCAAATGTGATACTTAATCCTGAACTGCATGTATTGGGGATTGTTTTAAAAAAACAAAACTTTCATTGAATCAATAAATTAACCGTTTTTCACTTGCTGGCTTTTCTTGCTGTAAATGGTGACTGAGAGGTTGGGACAAATCTGACACCCACTGGGAAGCTTGGATAAGTCATCAAGAACCATGGAGCCGACCGTTTCCTTCTGTTGTCAGAAAAGTAACACTGCCTGGGTTGTGATCTTTTACAAATGACTACTTACTTCTGACACAGTTGGCCACCTCTGTGTATCTCTGGATAACTGATGTATGACTTACGTGCTGCTGCCCTTAGACAAAAAGAAAAATGCCATGTTAAATCCTGTTTTCATAAATAAAAATGTCGATAATCACCAGCCTTCCCAAACGGGAGACAAGCCACTGCTATGAGGACCTTAAACTTGTATTTTCCTGTCTTGGGGGAGAGGAGGGGTAGACCTTGACCTTCAAAGGTGTGGCGGTTGCAACTAATCACCTCGATATGAAGACTGCTTTGACAGAAGAGTGGGACTAACGTGATGGGGGGTGATTCTTGTGCTTCTGGATTACACCACTCCTGCCTCTTGGGTTTGACCCACTTGATTGCACGACCTTAACTATCATGCAATGCTTGGTGGCAGAGCATCCTGCCTTTGTGAAGATACCACTCCCCACCCCTGCCCCAGTTGCAATACCCAGCGGGCTTAGACCTCTTTGGCAGACAGTGGTGTCTTAATGATTAGCATGATTTCTTTTGACCCCTCTGTGGAGTTGGGTCCTGGAAAGGAGTTGCTGATGTGTTTAAATTTCTCATGGCCCGTGCAGCCTTTCTCAAACGCTAAGGAGTAGCATCTTCCCCAAAATGTTCTGTGGGACAGCTTCCCAGGTGTGTGGTCCTCTCGGTGGTATAGTACTCTTCTACAAGAACCTGCTTCTAGGATTCTGTTGCATCTAACCACCCATTTCACCCTACTGGACATGGAGGGAGAAACATTCTCGGGCCACGCTAGACAACAGCTTCCCAGGAGCTCTTTTTTGCTCTGAGTATTGGTGGGTTTGACCCTTTTCCTGTACAAATACTAAGTCACCTGATTCTTAGCCCCCAAGACACCCTCAGTAAATCAGGTCAGATCTGATGGGGATCTAGAGCCTGCCTGATCAACTTGTAACTTGGCTCGCACTGAACCGTCAAGAACCTTTTGTCCTTCTAAGGCCTCTCAGGGGGAGACCTCTTGGTCAAACACGTCCAGAGTGTTCCCCTTGCTTGCATAGATAGCGGTGCCCAAAACTGCCTCTGTTCAATGGTGATCAGAAGAGGAAGAGAGTCCCATTTGAAACCTGAAACCACCAAGTCAGTCCTTAGTAGGTTTTCCACAAAGTGGCATGGGGAAGGCAAGCTCTTCTCAACACTGCAAGAGAAGGGAGCCACACGGAAGTGGAGGTCTGTCCTCGCTCCCGGTCAGATTGATTAATGCCATCTTTCCCCTCCTCCCATCTCTCCCCAGGTCTGTTGCGGTTCCTCCCACTTTTTCATAAGCAGAACAAGAACCAAATCAAACGTCTTAACGTGTGTAGAGAGATCACGTCCCGTGAGCAGACACAAAACGGTGGCAGGTTTGGCGAACACGAACTAGACCAACTGAAGGGCAACCCACCACCGTATATCAAACCTCGCTTCCGAATGTAAAAGGTTCACACGCCTTTGGCTTCCTGTTGACTTCCTCTTGACCCAGAAAGCATGGGAAATGTGAAGGGTATGCAAAATGGTTGCTGGTTACTATTGCTCCCCCGCGCCCTTGACTTCTCCCGCGGCAGCCTGATTTTGGGCAGACGACACCAACGCCACAGCAGGGGAACGGAGGCAATATATGGCATGACGGGCAGTTACATATTATAATTTTAAAAGTATATATTATTGAATAAAAGGTTTTAAAAGAAGTGTATGGAGAGTTTTCAGTATGGAAGGGGCCATGAACTGAGACCACAGAGGACTAAAACAGGAGTGCATTCCTGGTAGGTTCTAGAAGGAGCAAAGCAGGGAACGTCCCAGAGGTGAGAAGGGCTGATTTTAAGGATCATCTTTACAGAGGTGAGAAGTCGAAGAGGTCTGGAGTGAACTCTTCCTGGGAAGGGGAAAAGAGCAGATGATGCAAGTAGACCTGTGAGCTGGGGGAGCCAGGCTCTGTCCTGATCCCTCCCTCCAAAGCAGGTGAGTGCCCCGATGACTCAGGTGGTAGCTGAATGTCACCTCTAGTGAACTTAGGAAGGTAGATGCCTTAGTTCCGTCTTTGCTTTCCTTACGCTCTTGTCTCCAAATTTCATCCCACCTTCCAATTCAGCCCTCCCCCCCATCCCACATGCTCCCTTCTGGAAAGTGTCTTACCTTAGAGATGCTTGGGTCTGCAGCAGGGAAGGAACTGGGGTCTTGGGAACAGCCCGGAGGGTTGCTTCTGAGTGCATTCTGCAGCTCCCCTGAGCAGGAAGGAAAAGTGGCTCTCTCAGATGTGAAAGAGGTTGGAATTGAAGTGCCAATTGTATTTGTTAAATGAAAAAAAAAAATTATGCACATGCGCCTTTGCTGGCTCCCTCAGCTCTCCCCTCCCAGGGGGAGGTGAAAGCAGCAGCAATCTGATGGCTGCCCAGCCTTGCTGCTGGTGACCTCTCACTGCCTGTAGAGAGCAGAAGTGATGGGCAAATGCCTTTGCTCAGGCAGCTGGATGGGGCGCCTGCCGGTTCTCCACAAAATCCACAGATCTGCACAACTTCCTTCTCTGTTTTCTCTGCTGCTTGTCCTGAACAGGTGACTCTGGGAACCCAGGTGCCGACGTTCAGTTTTTGAAGCAAGTATGGGGGGGAAAGCAGAGAGGTCCTTCAAGGCCACCCTGTCACGGTGTTCCTTCGACCAGCTTCTGTCGAGTCTGAGCAGCTCCTCAGGTGTGGAAACTTGAGACTGCACGCATGTGAGGGCCCACAGAGCCTGCTATCTGTAAGGCCAACGGGACATCAAGTGGATGGACGTGGTGCTTCCCAGCACCCTCAGCAGCCTCGTGTTCTCCAGCGATCTCTCTCGTCAGGCCCTTTTTAACTCAAGGTTCTGCAACTTTTGGTTGCTTCCAGATCTCTGGAGTGATATCTCAGAATGAATATCTGCCCTGGAAGCTCCTTGGATGTGGTTCCTCAAATGTGTGTTGTTTGTCGTCAAGATAGCACATTACCTCTGTGCTGATCTCCTGGCACGAGGGCCCTTCCAGACGGGAAGGGTCTTTTTGGAGCAGAGTCACAGTAATAGGTTTGGGAATTCTTCTGATGCCACAAACACTAACTTTGTCCTTCAGTCTCTCTTCTCAACCAAGTCTCTCTCTAACTTCCCAGTGGGAAGGTCTTGTTTTCCAGAAACCTCTCAGGCATGCCAAATACTCTTGTCTCTTATGGGTGATTGCTGTTGAGTAGGATCGTGTTTGGGTGTAGAATGAAGGAGTTTTTGTTGGTTATTTTGATGTTTAGAGAAGGGGGCAAGGAACCTGCTAACCCAAGAACAGTCTAAAGATTACCTGTGTGTTTGGAAATTCAGAACATCAATCCATATCTTGCAATAGTTCTCTTTGTGTTGGGTTGCTTGAAGTAATATATTTATTGAATTTTCCTGATTACCAAAGTGATGGAGGTGCGTTGTAAAGCAATTCAGATTACATAAAGTAAATAATGACAGCCACCCTCCCACTCCCCCAAAACACACACACACACACACTTTCCTCCTCTGACCTAACCATGGTGAAATTTGGCCTAGATCTTCCCACTCTCCCCTATGCATTTATTTACATTTTAAAACTATAATGACTTTTATTTTTACAGAAATAGAATCAGACTTACATTCTTTTCCTGCAAAAGAAATCTCACTTGTCAAAATCTTACTGTTTCAACATGTATAGATCTACCTCACCTCTTTTTGTGGCTGCATAGTAATGCACTGTGCGATGGACCACATTTTAGGTAATCCTTCATTGATAGATTTAACAGCTATTATAAGTATTGCTGCAAAGTAATCCCTTATTGGTAGCTTTACCAGCCTTTTTAAGTATTGCTGCAATGAACAAAATTGCACGTTTTTATATAGTAGGAATGTTTGTGAGATAGTACCTTAAAGAATTATTGTGCCATGTGATTTTTTTTTTTTTTAACAAAGGGAATGGTTCAGATTCAGAGAAAGCAGTCTTCCACCTCCTTCTCTTGCTGGCACTCGTTACAATTGTGATGCCTTTAATCATGGAATCCTTAGAGGGCTCTGTCAGGTACTTGGAGCAAGGCACCACGGTCTGTGAGTTTTCTAGGAGCCTACTTTTTAAAAAGCCATGGACTCTAACATAAGAAAGCTGCAAAATTAAAATATTTGTAATGAGTGGCAGTTTTTCTCATCCTGTGATCTTAATTATTAAATTCATTTGCTTTAAAAAATATATTAATGAAGAGTCACAATCACAAAATATTTATAATTTCAAAAATATTCTAAAGATCTTTTCCAGAAAGTTACAGGATAAAGCTTATCTTAAATATGAAAAATGACTGCCTTTTAATATGTTTCAGTGCTGGCAGGAAATCTTCAAAAGCAAGTGCGCAGAGGGGCTCCCCACGTTTTAAAGAGAGGCCAGAGTGGGCTGAGTGGCACAATGGATGAGCAGCTGTTTGCAGAATATTCTACAATTAAAATGTGCATCTCAAACTCATTGTGTTAAGAATGTACTAAGAAGCAACCAGACTCGATACATACTGAATGATGTAATTTATGTGACATTCTGGAAAAGACAAAACTGTAGGGATGGAGAACAGTTCCATGTTTTGCCAAGGGTTACAGGCGGGGCAGGAGGAGAGAGTTTGGACTACAGGGGTAGCATGAGGAAATCTGGGAGGTGATTAATCTGTTCTATATCCTACATGGTGATGATTATGTGACTTTGTGCCTTTGTTAAAACTGTACACCAAAAAAAGGACATTTCACTGTATATAAGTTTAAAAATAAATTCTTAAAAATAACAATAATGGACAGAGCCCCAGTAAAGTCCCATTTGGCTCTTTTACTGATGTAATCATGGCTGATGCGCTTTGGATATAACCACTGGAGCTGGGGTTCAAGGGGGCCTCCATCTGCCAGCTGTCATCAGGGCACCCCTCCATCTTTTCTTCCAGCTAAGGGGTGATTCTTGAGGTACAACTCCTCATCTCATTGCTATATCTCACCACCCCCATCAGCAAGGAGAATAAATTGCATTATAGTATACGGCAAGACCCCCGTCCCTCAGAGGCCAGGTGCTCTGAGATTCTGCCCTTGGACGTGAACAGATACAGTCACCGAGGTTTTATCCTCTGAGCAAGGCTTTTGTGCACTGAAAAGATGCTTATAGCTACTGGTGTTTTAAGTAAGATCTTAGTTATTAAACCATCCATTGAAAAATTGAATTCATCTTGTGTCTTTAAGATTAACCTACAGGGCCTCCCTGGTGGTGGCGCAGCAGTTGAGTGCTGGGTTGTGAAACTTCCCACAGCCTCTGCAGGCCAGTTCGATCCCCAGCCACCGGGTGAGGTTCCCACATGGTGCACAGACATCTCCTGCTGCCCGCTGCTCCCCTCAGCAGTGTACTTCATCATTCTGCCTGTTCTGCTCTCCGCTCTGGCTCTGGTGAATTTTCTCACCTTCCTGCGCTTCTGACTGTACCCAGTGCTTGTATAAATAAATAATGAAGTTTTCATATTCTGACATTCATTATCATTTTTAATTATTTTTATATCATTGTTCATTTTTAAACAATAGATGTGAACACTTTTTTTCCTCTTTGATCAGTGCTCAATTCAAAACCTAATGGGTTAAACCAAGTTTCCTTAGACATTTCAGTCAACTACATGTTTCATCTGTTTGATGCACACAGACACTTCCAATAACTAAAAGGAAAGACTTAAAATCTGATAAAAATCTAAGTATTCAAATACTAAGATGTCTAAGTCTAAACTCATAGGTTTAATCAAAAAGTCTTTGAAATAGTCATCATTTACATGTGTATAATTTTCTTAGATATTTTATATTAAAATTACAGATCTAATTGCAAATTCTGTACATCAAATTAAATTCAAAATATCAGATCTAATATGTAAGGCTATCTTAATTTTCGTATCTCTTAAGAAAATATCACGATAATCAGAAACACCTTCCTCAATTTGACACTGTTTACTGATATCAAGGGTTTGGTTTAATTACCTTAATTTGCATACTCTGACACTTACATCACCAAGGTGACTTACTCTGTCTAAATTCAGGACCCTGGGGCCTCCCCGGTGGTGCAGCGGTTGAGTGCTGGGTTGTGAAGCTGACAGTAGCTTCTGCAGTGCTGGTTTGATCCCCGGCTGCTCCCCGGCCACGGGAGGAGGGTTCCACATGGCGCCCAGACCTCTCCTGTTGCCCACTGCTCCCCTCAGCAGTGTACTTCGGTCCTTCTGCCTGTTCTGTCCCCAGCTATGGCTCTGGTGAATTCTCTCACCCTCCCGTGCTTCTGACTGTACCCAGTGCTTGTATAAATAAATAAATAAATCTTAAAAAAAAATAAATAAAGTCAGTTATCGGAAAAAAAAAAAAATTCAGGACCCTGATACATTCATGGCCAGAAATTCTGGGCTGAGTTAACCCCAAACTGCAGGTTGACCAACTAAGCCCCTTTTGTGGTAATGGAGTTCTCAAGACAATCCAATAGTTTGTGCCTCGAGTGATTGCCTCTTGCGCAATCTTTAATGGACTGATTTGCATCCATTGATCATCCTCACTCATTATTCAGATTGTAATCAATTTATTGCCTCATTAGGATATACTCCCTCTTTTTGTTTTATTACTTTTAAAAACAGGTCAAAATATGAGATGATGTGTGCACAGGGCATTTGTTGTAGTAATATTTATAATAGGAAAAGATTAAATATAAGCCGATGTCCATCATTTGGACCAAGTGATAAAATCATAGGGCATTCCTTCAGTGAAGTGCAATGCAACTATGAAAAGAATGACTTAGGTTTTTTAATATACTGATAGTAATCTTCAGGATATACTCTCATATGAAGAAATCAAGTTGCAGAAGGGTGTCTATTATGTAAGCTTTTATTGTACAAGTGTTTTTAATTTTTATATACACGAGGCAAAAATTTACAAAAATGATTAATCACAGAATGAAGGAAGAAAAAAGTACAGAGTTCAGGAAGAAAAGCTAGCTATGTCTGAGTGAAATTGATTTATAGTTCTCACTTTGGAACCATGGGAATCTTTTCAGTAATTAAAAAACAAAAAACTTTTAAAAAAGCAATACCTAAATATGAAAAATAAATAAACCCTGCTGTGTATTGTTAGTGGCACAAGCATGCAAGAACAATTCTTTCAAACTATTTAAGACGTATTACATCTTAGCTGGGGATCTCTTCAGGCACAAAAGAACCTCAAAGAAATATTAACTATTCAGTGGGTTTATTAGTGAAGACATTGCTGTCCTTTTGGGAAATAAAGTGTATATAATAGTTGATATACATATATGCAAGACAAATTTGCTATTTATGTCAAATGAATTTATTATACATATAATTAATATATAATTACTCATTTAACATACATATAGTAAATATGATAGTGGGAAGATGGACAAAATGAATGAAGCCAGAGATATTTGATTATCTGAAAATTTTAAACAAGCAAATGGATATTCTAGAACTGAAAACTAAGATTTCCATGTATAGACTTAAAATGAATTCAGAAGAAGGGATGATCTAAAACCTAAGTCATCAAACTTACTCAAACTGAACACAAAGAAATTTTTTAAAAGAACGGAATGTGAGAGTATGTGGTAAAATTGCTAATATAGCTGAAGTTTGAGTTTCAGGAAGAGTGAAAAATAAAAAGAATGGTGCGGAACAATATTCTGAGATGATCCTTGGGATATTTGAGAAAATATTAACTAAGAATTTTCCCCAAATGATGAAAAATGTTAACCTACATATTCAAGTAGCCTGGTGAATCTCAAGCAGATTTTGAAAAGGAAAAATGGAAAATAAAAGGCAAAACCTAAGCATGTCATTTTCAAGCAGCTTGAAATCAAAGAAAAAGAAAAGCATCTGATAAGCAAGCAAGGAGCGGGAAACACATACGTTCACAGAAACAATAATAGAAATTAGAATGGGGGACCTCCCTGGTGGCGCAAGGGGTTAAGCAAAGCACTGTGAAGCTATCTGTGGCTTCTGCAGCATGAATTTGATCTCTGGCCGGCCAGGGAGCTATCCACATGAAGCAGCAGACCTCTCCTGTCTCTCCCGCTGCTCCCCTCAGCAGTGCATTTTGGTAGATCTGCCTGTTCTGTTCCCCACTCTTTTTCTGGTGAGTCCTCTCACCCCTTGCACCTTTGGCCTGTACCCCAGTTCTTATATACATAAAAAAATAAAAAATCTTAAAAAAAAAGAAATTAAAACAGGCTTCTCAATAACAACAATGGCAATCAAGAGATCATAGGATAGCATCTTTCAAATGCTGAAAAACAAATTTCAACTGAGAGTTCTATCCCCAGATACAATGATCTTCAAAAATGAAGATAAACACCTTTTCATACAAATAAAAGCTGAGCAAATTTATTGCCAGCAGATTCACCCAACAAGAAATGCTAAGGAAGAGCCTCACACAAGAGAAATGATCTTTAAAGGAAGAACAGATACACAGGAAGTAATGAAGAGCTCTGATAAAAATAAATATGTGGGTAGGTAGAAAAATTTTTTAAATTTAAGACTACTGATTGTTTAAAACATCAGTAATAAGTGTATTATGGGGTTTATAACACAATAAAAATAAAATATATGATAACTATAGCACAAAGGATGGGGGTGGTAAATGGAATTACATAGGTTTTTGCCATGAGGTGGTAAAATACTAATTCAGGGTAGATGTTATAAGTTTAATGCACATAGTAATTTCTAGAATAAACTAAGATAAAATACAAAATAGACATAACTAAAAAGTGAAGATAATTACAAAAGAGACTAATGTAAAACCCTAGATTAATCTAAAAGAAGGCTGGAGAAGAGGAACAAAAGAGCAAGAAAAAGACCGAACATATAATGAGGACCTTTAACTCAATTGTACCAGTAGTAACATTAAATGGAAATGAGCTAATATTTATTAGCTATTAGGAATTAAAATGCTGTGAGTGGCAGGCTGGATTAAAATATGTTAAATATATGCGTATGTCATGACCTAGAAATTCTGGCCACTGGATGCAAATGCAAAAGGTCTTTCAGGTGACAGAAAGATGAATGACCATCAGCAGAGGAAGGGACAGAGAAATGGAGGTCTAGTACAGGACAAGAGAGGAGTGAAAAGGTCAGCTTCACCTTTCTGTTTCTTTGCTTCTTTACATGGTCTCTTGCTGCAACAATGACGCACAGCATCTGTAGTTTAAAACACATCAAACAGGGCCTCCCCGTGGCGCAGCGGTTGAGCGCTGGGTTGCGAAGCTGCCCGCGGCCTCTGCAGCGCCGGTTCGATCCCCGGCTGCTCCCCGGCCACCGGAGGAGGGTCCCACATGGCGCACAGACCTCTCCTGCCGCCCGCTGCTCCCCTCAGCAGTGTACTTCGGTCCTTCTGCCTGCTCTGCTCCCCGCTCTGGCTCTGGTGAATTCTCTCACCCTCCCGCGCTTCTGACTGTACCCAGTGCATGTATAAATAAATAAATAAATAAATGCTGAAAAAAAATAAAAAAAATAAACGGGCCTTCTTAAAAAAAAAAAAATCAAACAAAAAAAAAAATAAAAGGAAAAAAGATTTGAAGGGACAATATCCAAAAGCATAATTATTTCTGAATGGTGAGATTATGAGTCATGATGTACTTTTTCAGTTTCCTCAATAAATCTATTATCTTCACCAGAAGAAAAATAAGTTCACAGATCATATGCAGACCTGAAGGAATAAATGACTACCTTATTCTTTTTTCTATGATTATTGGTTATTTGGCTTTCTACTTCTAGTCTCAATGTTGGTAACTTTTTCCCCTAGAGAATAATTTATTTTATATATATTGTCAAATGGGTAAAGTTGTATATAGTATTTAAGGACCTTAAACTCAACAACCTTTCAATTACTAATAGCTAATAAATATTAGCTCATTTCCATTTAATGTTACTACTGACACAATTGAGTTTAAGGTCCTCATCTATAGTTATTTCACTGAATGTTATGTCTTCTCTATCCTTGTTTTTCTCCTAGGAAAAACTTAATAACAAGGCATAAAATGTTCACTAATCTCAGGCATACAGAGTGTCCAGAAATCATCTAAAAATAAGTTTCACATAAAAAAAAGTTTTTAATTTTCTACTCTTAGAAGACTTCCCTGTGTCCGGAAACTGGTTGGACTGTCTCCTCAGTTTTTGTAAGGATTAAATGACTTAATACAGGCTAAGGAAATTAATACAGTGTCTGCCACATCTTAAATGCTCCATTGCCATTAGCTATTACTAATTGCTTTTATGATGAAGTTAGCAGCAAACTCCTTTTCTGTCAGCTACAATACCCAACACAGCCCTGGGCACAAAGTGTAATATTTAGGTCGATAATCAATGTCTGACTGGTCATCACCATTCACATTTCCTTCACACTTGAAATATAATCAAAGTCTTAAAAATTTCTCTAACTATTAGCTCATTAAAAAAAATCAGCTGCTGATTCAACTCAACTCTTTTGTTTGATGTCAGCAATTTCTACTTCTAAATGTTCAACCTTTGTTTTCTAACGATTCATTTAAGGCAACACGTTTTCCTCAGAGTATTTCTTTCCTCTGCATCCCACAAGTTAAGAGAATGAATATGGTGTATTCATGGAGACTAAATAATTAAATCAACGGTGCATATGAAGAAGCACTTAGCACACTTAGTGCCCAACACTGGTGAGCTCACTTTAACTTTGTCCTATCCTTGGCCAACAAGCATCTATTCGGCATTCACAAGACGCCAGGTAAATAAACACCTGTTCAGCAGAGCCACCTCCCGAGTCCGCCTTCCCTTCTGCCCTTGAGACGCCTCCCCCCAGGGGGCGGGGCCTGGTCTCCACGCCCGCTGGCCCCACCCCCGCACGTTCCCATGACACCACGCAGTCTCAATGACGCATTCTCTAACCCGCCGTCTCCTTCCGCTCTCTAAAGGCCGCTCTGGGACGATGGGAAAAATAGTCCCTTGGCAACAGGATTCTTAGCCACGAGGCGACGGGAATAAGGGCGGGGCTCAAGAGCGGGAGGAACAGGAAGTCTCCGAGCCATGGGACTGGATTGGCTGGATTGGGCCCCGCGCTCCCAGGGGGCGGGCTCAAGTGGGCGGAAGGATCCTTCTGAGGGGGCGGGCGGCCCGCCGCCTGCATTTAAGGCGGGGAGCGCGGCGCGGGAGGCAGTTGCTGTGGTTTCCGTGTTGCTTGCCCGGCCGCTTCTGGCGCCTGAGCCTCACGAGCGCCGCGACCCGCGTCCGAGTCTGTCTGTTGTGCTTGCAAATAAGGGGGTGGGGGGTCGCGAGCTCAGTGTCCCTTTTCTGCCCAGACCCGGCCCTCTGCGTTGCCTTCGCCGCTCGGCGCGCCTACCAGGTCGGCTCCGGCGCGGCTGAGGAGAAGGCCGCGGGCGAGATGTTCAAAAACACGTTCCAGAGCGGGTTCCTGTCCATCCTCTACAGCATCGGCAGCAAGCCCCTGCAGATCTGGGACAAGAAGGTCAGGGGCTGGGGGCCGCGCCGGGGTGGGGTACAGGGCCTGTGCGCCCCCCTCATCCCGCCTCGGGTGGGGGGTGGCGGGCTGGCGGGACTTGAGGCCTGGGGAGGCCAAACGGTCGGGACCGCGCCTGTCCCCGCACCTGGCGTGACTGGGCCTCGAGGGGGGGCGTGTGAGGAGCTTGTGAGGGACGTGAGCATCCTGCGGCCGCGGGGTGTTTAGGACGGAGGCTCCTCCCTGCAGGCTCGACTGGCCCACTCAGGTCCTCTCATTGCGCTCTGTAGAGTAGGCTTGAGAGTGCCCGTCCAGCAGGAAACGCACATATTTTCGTGAGTCCACTTTGGGAAGGTACCTATGAAAGGAATGGTCGTCTCTGATTTCACAGCTAGTTCCTGAGCGCCTCCTGTGTGCCAGGCACCGTGCAGGGCGCTGGACACAGAGGCTTTGTTCCACGCACCCTGCTCGAGGCGCAGCCAGGCAGCGCTTGTGTGTTTGGGTTTCATTCATTGGCTGCTTTCCTGCAGCTGATCCCAAACAAGCCCGAATTTGAGGACGATCTGTACCGTGCTTCCAGGTCCTGATTTTTTTTTCCCCCGTTAGGAAAATTGCAAAAAGGTGACAGTTTTGTCTGGATTAAGAAACTCAGAGGCTGTCCAAGCTGCTTCTTTATTCAGAAGTCTACCAGAAGCTGCTTTCACTCACCCCAGGAGATGTCAACGCGCTGGGCTTTCTGGAGATGTTGAGTAGGGGGCATGTGTGTTTGGCAGCCTCAGAGTCGCTATGCATTTTTTTTTTTTAACTTTATTATTTGGTTTCTCATGCAAATTTCCAGATAGTCAGCTGTCACCCTCTTTTAATATGAGGTAAGGTAATTGCTTTGATGAGGAAGGTGAGTGATTTAGGGTGTATGCTTACTGCCCTCCTTGGGGGAGGATGGAGACAGGTGGTATGTTGGAATGGTGCATTTACAGAGCTGGATGTGGAATAATCTAAATAAATAGTTTGGGTAAGTGAAGTAAAAAAAAAAAAAATGTGAATTTCATCTCAGAACTGTCTTCTTGCACCCATAGACGAGAACTCCATGCCTTATAGATTGATAGAGAACCTGGTCAGCCTTCTGCCCGTCCCCGGGAGAGTTCTGCATTCTCAGAGCAGGTCTGAGGGTGGTGTGTCCTTAATGTCATTTTTATGAGATAGCTGAAAGATCTGCATATAATAAGCTTGTGTGAAAAATCTTTCCCCTCGCAAAGATTGTGTCCATAAGCTGGCTCAAATGTTAAGAGTATTACATAGAAATTCCAATTTTTTGTTTCCCTCCTATGTTACTGAGGATTGTAGTGCCATGGTTTTGTTCACACTGGACTAAAACATTGTAAATTCTGAAATTGCACCTCTACAAAGAGAAGTTGGAGAAAGTATACCTGGCTACTTTGCAAGGATAATGACTTCCCAGTTGTGGTTTGGCTTAGTTGTGAGTGGTCAGAGAGCAGGAGTGGCCTAGTGTGCCACTTGAACTTGGAAACTGAATTGTAAAGTGTCAAATTGAAATAGAGGATGGGATCTGACCTAGGAGCAGGTCAGAGAATTTACTCACACTGAAACAGTTCCAGTGGTAAGGACGCCTCAGCATTTCTATCAGGTGAAACTTTTGTCCGACTTGTCCATTTTAACTATTCTCCACTCGATCTTTTGTTTCATTTTTCCAAAGGCAGCTTTTTGACTAGTCAACATGTTTACACAGCGGTATATGAAAGTGTAACCATGGTGCGCCGCGTGTCCCTTAACAATGCCACTAGAGGTCGGATGGTACCCTGAAGACATAAACACGTGTGAAAACACTGATCCACCAGCTGGGTTACGTGGAGTAAATAAAACATAGTTTGTCAAAGAATACCGTTAGAAGAACACCCATTTTAAGCAAAAACCTCATAATGATAAAATATGTTTCTCTTCTTATTTAGAATAGATTGAAAAGTATTTAGTGATGAATTTTTCCCCCTGGGGCAAGAGGAGGAAAGGGAGGAAGAGGAAAGTTTGGGGCCAAATTCATGGACTTTTGTAGTGTGCCTTTTCCCGCTGTGTTATAGAAAGCCCTCGGGAAATATTGAGAATCCAGCCAGGAGAACACTGGGAATTGATATACTTATCAAAGATTGATTGAGCAACAGCTAAGCGATGGGCATTGTGTATACTTGAGGAGATAATCTCTTTAGAGAAAGACAAGGTATCTTCTCTGAAGACATCTTCTCCGCTCCCAGAGAATAAGGCAAAGTTGTAATAAGGGTGATGTTTAATGGAGGGAGGGAAAGACTGTCTACATTTGTTTCGACATGAACCTGCCCTTTGCCAACAGGTCCATGTTGGCTGTAGTGGTTATTTTTAGTTACTATTTTGATTTCACAGTGTTACAGGGCAACCCCGATATAAAACGGGTTGCCTGCCTGGATCCTCACCCAGGCTTGCGCAGGACATCCTTTCCCCCTAACAACAGAACTTTACTGTTTTCTTCTTGAGTTTATGGATTGATAAGTTCCATAATTTGTTTTATGTGAACAAGTCTTGGATAAATTGGTTTGGCTTCTGTTTACGCTCTGTGTCTCCCTCTGAGTGTCTCCTGGGTATGAGCTGTGACTGCCATGTACACATTACCAGTGAATTTGCAAACTCCGTCGTTGCAGGTATGACTTGCTCATGTTTGTATCCCCTGCAATTTATTGACATTCTATGATATTTACAGCCCCTGTCCTCCACTTCATCTTTCAACCCCAAACATTTCACTGGCAGTTTTAAGTTAGGTCTCCAGTGGCACTCTGTCACCCTGTGTGGCAGTTGCTTATTTGTAGTGTATCACCCGGTAGACTGCAAGTTCCTTAAGGGCAAGTGTGATGTCTTACCTTGAAATGCCAGTGCTAGAGTGATCAGGCACCTTGGATTTGTGTCCTGGCTGGGTTCTCTGCTGTGTAAAATGTTGGACAAGTACTTAACTACTGTGTTTTCTCATAATAATACTGACCCCCACATGGTTATAGAGCTTAAATGAAGATGTACCATAAAAAGCTTTGCCATATAAGTATTAACTAGGGCAGGGATCTGCCCTGCTTAGAGTAAATTTTATAACTGAGACCATTGTCAGATGCCTTGGAATAGGAAGTACACCAAAACCACACTTCTGAAATGAAATAATTGAGCCATTGTATCATGGTGTCCTTAGCCCTGAATCTTTAGTATGGATCTAAGGCCACACAGCCCATGGTCTGACGCCTTCTTAACTAGTTGTCAGGCTCACCTCCTCCGGGTTCCCCTCTAAGTATTTACCCCCTTCTGAACCGAAAGAAGTCCTGTTCTTTCTCTCTGGCACAGGCTTTGCATTTTCTGGCCCTTCTGCTGGGACCCGCTCCTGTACCTCGTCTCCAGTCTCCAGTACAGAGTTCAAAAGCACCTCTTCAGAGAGCTCGCTCTTGACCCTCTAGGTTAAGTTAATTTATATCTACTCATAGGACCTCTACTTCCTTTTTATCATACTCATCTCACTTGAAATAAACTTTTTAAGACCTAAATTTCTGGCAAGACTAGTAAGCTTCCTGATAGAGACCTTTGTATTTTTTCAAACCAAGAATTCAGGGGAGATGAGGGGTTTCTCTAGTATTCCCTTAGTTCTGGGACCAGCAAATAAATTACATTTATTAAAGGACTCTTATGCTTAATGTGAAAAGTTTAATGTTAATAGTTTGTAAAGAAAATACTAGAAGGTTCTAACTCCACTTTAGCCTGTGTAAAACGTAATTTTCCGTCTTTGCTGGTTAGGTCCTAAAAGTGTACAAGATGAGGATGTTAATTTATACAAGATTCTCCTCCTTTTACCTTGTCCTTTCTCAGCAGCTGCTGATCCTCCCTATTCCCAAACTAAATAACAGAACCGGAGTTTTTGTGGTGGTGTTGCTATTCCAAATTTAAACAATAAACACTGTCTCTCCTCCCCCCCAAAAAAAATACCTCCCACCCTAGCTGTTAATTAGCAAATGTTGTTGGTACATATTAAACGGGGCAGTTTCCAGCAGGATTGAGTGACTTTGGATATGAAGTTAGCAAAACTTCCCCCGCCCCGCCAGATTTTCCTGTGGCATTCTATGGTCTTTATTATTCTGAATAACAGCTTTTACTGTAATTGAAGAAGGCATGAGCTCTTTAAATGTACTGTTAGGAAGAGACTGATTAGCAACACAGTTTGTTGTCCTTTCTTTAACTAAGGGGTTTGTATATGCCTAGAATTGTCAGTGTGCAGTCTGGATAGGTCTGGTTAAGCATAGCAAGGGAAAGAAACCTTTGACCCATTCAAGCCTGTGAGAC